TGTGAGCTGTGATGCCATAGCACTCTACCCAGGGGGATAGCTTGAGGCTCCGTCTCAAAAAAAAAAAAAAAAATTAGAGCCCCAAAGACAAAGAGGGCGAAAGTCAGACATTTGTCTGTCTTCTGTGGCTTTGCAGGTTTAAAGTGGGTGGGTAGGCCGCCTACAGAGGCTTGCCCTTATAGCTCTCTGCAGGTCTAGCCCCTGAACCCAGGTCACACATCTACCCTCTCCTCATTTTCTCTCTCATGTTTGCCTGCAACTGACACTGAGTATCTTCCCCTCTCCCTGAGAGAGGATACCCAGGAAAAGCAAGGTCTGAAAGAACAAAAGTCTTCTCACAGAAACCCAGGGATACTCCTGCAAAGTCCTCCTTGTGATGACTCAGCTCTTAGGAATTTGTAGAAACTTCCTGGGAACTTGAAACTAATGCTTGCTTCTGCTTCTGTAAAAGCCCCTGCCCACCTTCTCCAGCTCGAATCAAACTGACCAATGAGAAATGTACCCATGGACAAGGGCCCCTTGGCTGGAGATCAAGGAAAGGACAGAGCCAGTGGGGGACCTCACTTTTGGAGGTCAGCCATTTTTGGACTTCAGTCTGAGGTGGTTCTACTGGCTGAAATAAAGCCCTTACTCTTTTAAAGAGGGATGTTCCAGTGATTCCTTCTCCCTAGGGGACCTCCTTTTCCTGCAATATCCCTACTTGAATTTCTTTTTTTTTTTTTTTTTTTTTAGACAGAGCCTCAAGCTGTCCCCCTGGGCAGAGTGCCGTGGCATTACAGCTCACAGCAACCTCACACTTTAATTTTGTTTCTCTTTTTCACTTGCAGAATTGTTTTTTTCTCATTCTGTCTTTTTTTTTTTTTGATCTCTCTGTAAACCACTGCTTCTCTTTCTCTTGCTGTCTACATCTTTTCCCTAGCCTTCCTATTGTCTCTTTCTGTGTCTCTCCCTGGTCTCTCAGGGTCTCTTCCTGAGAAAGTGGGCAAGGTGACTCCTACCCTATTGTCAGAGCTGGACCCCTTTACTCTTCCCTGATTCTATCCATCTCCTTAACCCTCCTCACCCAGCAAATATTTCCCTTCTCCCCATGCAGACAAGTGGGTGGCAAACCCAGGGGCCACAGGGGTCATGTTATAAGAATCAATAGCCAGGGAGACCAAAGCAGAAAATATGGGGGAGGAGGACTGAGAGACAGATCAAGAAGGTAGAGGCAGAGATGGGGGCTAAGGCAGGGAGGAAGTAGGAAGAAGAAAGGAGGAAGAACCTGAAGGAAATTCTTGTTGGAAGTAGATGGGATTAAATTAGAGCCCCAAGCTCGGCATCTGTGGCTCAAGCGGCTAAGGCGCCAGCCACATACACCTAAGGTGGCGGGTTTGAATCCCCAGCCTGG